TTTATTTAATTTGACAAAAGTTGTGACCAGATCCGCTTCCCTGCCTGCATCACTTTGACCCACTTACATGCACGTAGGACAAGCATGCGTTAGCCAAGCAAAGCATGAAATGCCTCATTAAGATCGCAAAGTGTTGAGCTTACTTCCATTTCGAGTGAAAGTGTTTGGTGAAGTCATTCGAAGGTCGATTCCAGCAGAAGACGATTGCGGATTCCGCATGACCAGCTGTCGGTTGGCTTTACTGGAACATTCATGGTGACGCTGTATCTGAGTTGATCTCTTTCGATTCCGGTATCCGATGATACTAATCTACTATTCCTTTCCACCGGTCTTCTCAAACGAAACTAAGTATCTACCAGTATTAATCTAGTAAAGTATTCTTTGAAACCCATCTTCTTTTTATTTTTACCAAATATGAGCATCCAATTGTGCTCAACAGTTCTTTCAGCTATGCTAGATTTGTCTAATCACCTTTGGTTGCCCAATCCAGATTTCTCTGAGCCCCTAATTCTAGATATGTGATAAAAGTGGGCTAGGGAGTTTTACTCTAATGCGAAGTCGTTTAAATAATGGGTAAATTGACAAGTTCCACCTAATGACGGTGGATTGCAAATGTTCTTATGATCATCCAATTATCCAGAACCTTTAGCGCATCAGAACTTTACTAATGCTACATCATTATTTCATTTCCTACAGGGCTTTAACATGGAAAAAGTGTTTAAAAATGTCATACGATTGTTTGGGACACCACTTCTTCCTTTTAAATGGCATTTTTTTACTTACATGGCAGATACGAGATTGCCTCATTTACAATAGTTCAACTATAAATTATGAATTGGCTCAAACCCAGCATGCCTTGAAAGTCAAATCTGCCCGGCGACCCATTGGAAAATATTCTTGCAGAACCCCGTTTATTGGTTCAAGCTAAAAAGTTCAATTTCATAAAAGGATGATTGCACAAGAATCACTAAAATATTTTAATTATTTATGATTGCCAGTTAATAACGATAATATTTCGTAACTAGATAGTCGTCTGTAACACGCAACAATATCCAGATAAGTCTAAGATCAGGTTTTCGAAATGAGAAATAGATTTCCGAAATTTTCACGCAATGCCATTAGCTTTATAGTTTCGTCCAAACCAGAAGGTGATTTGTTATATCAAGAAAATATAGGTACTATCCCTATATAAAAATCGGGATGACTCCTTCACACCTATCTGTAAGTGGAGTGATGACGAGCCTCGGCGAGGCGCCCAGGTACTCATAACCGTATACGTAGTGCGAACTCGACATGCGGACGATGCAATTGTCAATGTCCAGGTCCCAGTAATACCGTAACTGACGCTGCCACTCGAAGTTGTTCACCGTGTCGACATTTGCCTTCACCATGTCAGTGACCATATCGCGCGAATGAACATCAATCGTAATGAGAGCGCAAAGGAGTGTGCGAACCAGCTTTGGCAGATCTCCACGCACCATTACTGCAAGTCGGTTGAGATCCTGAAGAGACCAGAAAGAAAGAAAAGCCAACAGAAGATGTTTACTTCTCTATTTTTAAATAGTAATCCTGAGGAAGATTAACCACTCCATTTTCCAGCATGATATCTTTCACACTGATAAGTTTTGAGTATTGCAATAAATAGCTTAGTAGTTTGAAAGATATACAGATGTATATTTACAGAAATAATAATTGACAGGAAGTAAACGGGAAAGAAGGAAAATAGAAATGGGTAGAAATCTGACTAGCTCGCCAGACAGACTGAATAAGTGAGACAATGGAGGTATACATGAAGAGTTAGAGTGCTAGATGGATAGATGAAAGATTTAAGCGAGAATAAATAAAAGAAAGTATTTTAACAGAAAGTCTACCTCAAAACACTTTTGTTCATATTTACTCAAGCCCTTGAGCCTGTTGTTGCTTTGCTCCGCCCCAAGAATCTGTGTGATATCGCGGGCCCAGAACATCTGCTCAACCGTTAGTACAATCTGACTTGCGTGCGATCGAATCCATATCTCTCGATTGACTGTTTCGAACTCTTGAATTGCCGTTTTCATGAGACGGCGTAGGTTGATAAACATCGCTTCTTCCACCTTGCCAAGCCAGTCTTCGACATTTCCTCTCGCTTTCAGGCCCTAGAAACAAGAAAAGTTTGGGGCTAGTTTTGGATACTGGTCAGGTTACTATTTGAGTTTATAGCTGAGGGCAAATTTGAATAATAAAAGCTTACTTTAGAGTTTGTTTGACCTTGTTTTTGCAACTTGGTCATATTGGTAGGAAGACTTAGAGGAACACACCTAGTCCC